CGGTGGGGGGGCTGGGGTTCCCAGGAGGGCGCGTGGCGGGGAGCCCAAGGACGGGGAGGCTTTGGGGTCCTCGTCTCGCGGTGTCCCCCTTGTGCTTTCAGGGCTTTGCAGCATGCAGCCTTGCGCTTCCTGCCCGGCTGGAGCCCGTCCTTATTTGCAGCGTGCCCATCTAATGCCACGTTGCATGCTCTTTGGTGCTGCTTCAATTTTTAGCAGTTTGTTTTCTAGCCTGTTATGTAGCAGGACAAAGATTTCTGCCCTATCCTTCACAATTCCTTTGCAGCCCCAGATCCCGCTACCCTCCCATTTTAGCGTGTGAGGTGTTTGCAGAGCAGAACTGGCTGTACAGCAGGGAGCCTGGCCCAGGAGAGCATGCATGCGGAGTTGCAGCTGCCTGCATGCCTGCCCTAGTAGTCCTCAGGAGAGCAGCCAGGTGGCAGACAATCCAAGGAGACATTCGTGGCTTTGTTGCTGGAGGACCTACCATACCAGTCAAATCAGAAATGTGCAAAGTAGTTTATGGCAACTTGTTGCAGAGATGCACAATTGCTGTTCAAGGCTCTGTTGCTTCATGGCTTTGGGTCCCTGGAGATACGGATAGTGCAACGTGGGTGGAGGTGGCATGACCTATTGGATCACTTGTCAGTTCCCAGTGATGACCTGCGGAACAGTACTCCCTTTTGTGGATCTGGTTGAGATGGTGAGGGTAAGGCTGTAGAAACACTTCATGTTCCAGTATGCACTGGAAGGCATGAAGTGTTCTGGGGCAAAGTCATCCTTTACCACGTATTGAATAAATGAATCAAATGGACAGGGAGCTTGTTGTGGAATCTATATCCATGGAGATATTCAAAACTTGACTGGACATGTCCCTGAGCAACCTGCTCTTAACTGGACCTGCTTTGAGCAGGAGGTTGGACTAGAGACCTCCTGAGGTTCCTTCCTACTGAGATGATTCTGTAATTGTTTGAAGCGTACTGCTCTACTTCTTCGAGTACCTTTAACATATGTCATTTTTATAAAGACAACTGAACCAAGAAATTCCTCTGTTCACTTATTTGGGTTCAGCTGTGACTTAAGTTGTTACAGTTTGGTAAACTCCTAGTAGACTTGAACCATTTCCTTTGGCATAGCCTTCCTTGCTTAATTCTGTTTGCAATAGGAGTAGAATCTAGTTTTCCTTAGGATGATTTTGTGAGTCACTGGCACTGTCAAGATTATTATCAGATGAGAACATTAGTTCCCCAAGAATGGGAATGGCCTTGAGTTTAACATGCATTTTTTTCAGTGGCAGTGCTGGGTACAGAGTCCCAGACTCCCCTTCCTCTCATCTGCTCTTCCCTAGCATCCTTCCCAGTGAACTCAGCCAGCTAGCTGTGTACTTGGCCACATGATGATATAGCTGAAAACATAAAGTGCTATAGCTGAAAAATAACTTTTGCCCTGTTTCAGCTGGTTTGATTTCCTGATTTGGATCAGGCTGCAAAATTATTGGTACTGGTGACAAAAGAGTAGGGCTGCGCAGCTGATGGTGAAGGCTGAGAACTTTTTAAGCTTTCATAAGTGGTACTACCTAGAACATATCACAAAACCATACTCTATAGCTCGTTACATGTGTGAGTCAACGTACCAGCTCACCAGGACAAAACCGGTCTCCCTTGTTTTGCACGCACCTGCGTTCCCATGTAGTTCCCTCTCTTCCCCCGTTTCTCCTCATCTGTCACTCAGCTGATTGCAATGTAAATTCCTGCAGGTCGCTAACACAGAAGAACAAAACAAAACAAACAAAAAAAACCCACCTTACTTTTTCTAGGTTAGTTTCCTAGAAGCCAGAACAGCCTGAAGGTAAGCGGCAAGAACAGGGAAGGAAATAGGATGAAGGCATAGGCTCTCTTCTTTTTGGCAGGAGGAGCAGTTAAATTAGCTCATGTCCTATCGTGAAACCATGTTCTTAGCCACTTCAATTAGTTTTACCCTTTAATTTCTGTATAAATAAGGAAATACAGAAGGAAAAAAAAATCTTTGTTAAAGGATCAATAGGCTCTTCCTGCCCATACCATTAAATGTAATCTGGGAGTTGTTTTTTACTGTTCTTTTTACAGTGGTTATTCCAAAGGCACTCTTTACTTTGCATTTTGAAACATAAATGAAGTAAATGAACATCACCATGCTAGTGTGACTTCCAGGTTGTCTTTGCCTGGCCTCAAACTATAGCTTGAGCTGTATGTTAAAAGGATATGTCTAGATCACTAGTGGATATCCAGGTCCAAAGGAGGGATTGTCTGGGTCCTGGTGTCACAAAACGAAGGTGAATCTCTTCACTTTTTTTTTGTGTGTGACGAACAAGGGGAGGACGCGTCCAAAGTGTGCTTCACTTTACATGCTTTCTTTATTAAGTGCAATGCCCTAGCATTTTCAGTTTCTATGCTTCTCTGTGGCCTGCCAATCTGCTCACAACTCTCTTGGATTTATTTTTTTTTATCTAGATTTGCTTATAGAAGGTGTTTATGTGCCTTTTCCACTTCCTTCCAGTTCACTCGCCGTGGGTGGTAGCTCAGCTTTACTACCTACTATCCCTGAAAGGTCCGAGAAGCGGGGTGCAGATCCGGACCACAGAAAGCATGGTCGGAAAGTAACTTTTAGTAACGTCAATTTGAGGAAGACAGTGGATCCACCTGCTTCGTCCAGCTGCTTAGAAATGAGAGTATCATCAGGTGAGATTAGCAGAGAAGTTGCTGTGTAGCAGTACTTATTAGCTGCCATCACTGTAAGTAGAAGTTGCAGTACTGTATTTGGCAGCATATGTATATACTTGAGCCTCTTACAGCTCATGCATGTCTTCCGCCTCTATTTGTAGCTGAGACATATGTGCAAAACCCTACAAAGAAAAAGAGAGGTGAAAGATACAGCCGAAGCGGCCGGCGCCTCATCCCTCCTTTGCAGTACTGGTGTGGAGAACGGCAAGTTTGGGATCGGGCAATGATTGTTAGAGTAGAAGAAGGTGGAACAAACTATTTAGCTGAAAGAGTGGTAAGATTCCTTTTAATTCAGTTACTGAACTTCCTTCGTCATTTCCCTAATAGGTGGTGGGTCTTGGTAGAACATGCTCCTCTTTTTCAGCCTGTAGTTGTGATGTTCCAGTCATAAGAACTTGCAGACTTATAAAAGCTTTAATTTAGCTTAATTCGTTGGAGAAGCTGGAGTGAAGAGACTGGTTTCAGTACGTTTACCGTAGAGCTTATGAGGACAAGGAAAGGACGACGAACAACTAGAATTAGATACCCAAGTTTGTTTTCTAATACTAGGCAGTGTAAATATCACCCACCACGTCATTTTTTTTCTGTAAGCTAGTGGATGTGCAGCACTGAAGCACTTCTATACTGTTATCCAGAAAAGGTTTTGTTCTTTAATGTGGCAGGCATTCAGTGTTTTTTGTTGTTCTTTCTCTTTGACTTGCAGGCTTCTGAAAGCAAGGAGACTAGCTCAAAAACCCGTTATCACACTCTTATAAAACGGAAAAAAACAAGAGGAGCAAAAGAACAAACTGGGTGCCATAATCCAGGTAAAGAGATTATGACTTAATTACGTGATTATCTCTGCCTCTTGAGTAATAATCTGAATCCTTTTTACAGATTTTCAGAGTTGAGACTTTGCAGTCTTACTCCTTGATACAGAGTAGCTCTGTGACTGACCGTAGGCTTGAAATCAGTATCATCATATTCCATTCCTGTCTGTCTTGGTAGTTCTATGAGCTTAGGGAAAAAGCTTATGAGATTTGCTGCATGCTTCTGATTCACTCCTCTCCTGGCCTATGGCTGCCAAGGATTACTAATGCTAAGGAGCGGTGTGTTTGAGCCTGTGCAGTGTGTGTGTGAAACTACTCCTGCCTTGTGCATACACAATTCATTTAGCATAAAGACAGGTCTGTCTGTGATATCAGATGAAGGAGTATGACCTACTTTCTTAGATTAAAACACAGATGTTATATTAAATTCCCCTTGTCAAAGAGACTACAGAAATCCTAAAATTTGTCCTTCAAGTAATGCACAAAAATGAGAACCAGGAGTTGGCCTGTCATAAACCTGTTCTTACCCTGCTTTACGTTCCAAAAATACTTTCTATATGAAAGCATATAAAAGCGTGTGAAAGTGTTTGGAATGCAGACGGCAAGCTTTCCTACCCAAACCTGCCAAGTGTCCCAAAGTATCTCCTTCCCTGAGATAAGAGGAAGCAGGAGGATGAAGAAAGCAGTGAATGAATGTGCATTAAGAAAGGATCCCATTCAACAGACAAAAAATAGTGTTTCCTCTGGGATGCAGTCAGAATAGTGAGGGTAGAAATATACAGACAGGCACGGTGAAAGGAAAGGAGAGAGCTGTGTGTAAAAAATAAATAACTATATCAATATTGAAGAAAGGAAATTGATAAGATGGGAAAGAATATCTGGAGTGAGGCAGGTGTTTGTTAAAGCTGAGGTGAAGAGACTGCTCCAGCTTTTCCCTCTTAAATGAGCATAGGGCAGAGGTTTTCAGTCAGAGATGTGGACGGCTGTAAGTTGCTGTGAGTCCCTTCTTTGCTTTGTTATATGGCTATTTGCAGAGCCTGGCGACTAGCTGGTTGCTCTCTGCAGTTCTTCCTCTAGGCAAAAGACGGAGGAAGAAACTATCCTATTTCCTCGATTTGGAGCAATTTCTTCATCACAGCTCAAGATCATGAGAAATTGAAGGATGAAATAGGAGGGGGACCCCTCTCTCCATCACTTTTTATTCGTTGCTTGTGAAAGCAATAATTGCGGCTCTTTGATCCAGCATATTGGAGTTCTGCACCCTGTCACAACTAAAACTCTTTCTTGATCTTGGTTTGTATTTTTGTTATTGTTGTTCTCTGATTCTCCCCTCCCATTCCAGGTTCACCAGGAGTAAGTGGTGTTAACGTGCCTTCCCCGATTTACACTGATTTGCCTAGCACTGAAGATACTATCTCTCTACCCACCTGTCTTCCTAGTAAACAGTGTGTCCAACAGGAGAGTCAAGATAAAAAGACATACAAAAAAGTAGTTTTTGGTGATGTCATGTCCCAGAATACAGTGAAAGAGGACTTTGACTCATCTACTAGCTCACAAGAGCCTGTACGTTCAGAAGAAATCAATGGAGCAACTTACTCAGCTGGAGACAAGAAGTTATTTTCTTCTGGTAATCAGGATCTGTCAGAATTAGAGAGCAAAAAATATATGGAGAAAAACCAACAAGAAAGCAATAGTCAGATGAGGAGGATCTTAGAAGTACTGGGTAGTATAGTGGAGGGACAAATTAAAATGCAGGATACCTTGAATAAGGTTCAGTTGTGCTTACAGCAAAACAAGAAGGTAGCCACAAGCCTCCTCGGTATGCCAGAAAAGAGCTGATGTGCTTCAGCTAGAGATAAAGGAGCTTGAATTAAGGTCTGTCAAGGCATGATTCTATACCTAGAGCAAAAAATATATGTAAAAATTGTGCCTGTATCCCCAAGAAGTTATCTAAAGCGAAGCAAAAGAGTAAGTGACTGAAGAAGTAAGAGGGCATGCTGTTGATTCATCTGTTTTCTATTTCATCTGGTTGTAGAAAAGCATTTTGTGTTCCTTGTGCTAAGTTCTGAGATCCTTTTTCTAAACTGGCCCATCAAAGGGCGCAGCACTATTTGTTAGAGTGGTTTACAACTAGGATTAGTTGTGTGTTTTCTTGAACTCTGAAAAAAGATAGAGTGGTACTTCTGTGTTCTTATTTTCTGCCTGGAGTTGCATTTTGGCTGGAGAAATTAAAGCAGAAAACCTCAGCACATAGTGGGCATGTGTTTGCACATGGCCACACCAAGAAAATGCAGAGTAAATGAAGGTTTAGAAAAAACTGACCTAATGAGGCCAAGGAAGAGAAAGGGTTTTGCAGGTAGAACAAAGTCTTTCTCTGAATATGTCTCAATACTAGTGCTTCAGAATAGCATATAGAGATAGGTAGTGACTTTTGACAATATGAAGCACCTCCACAGCTCCTGATCAGCCGTGAGAACCATGTATGCATAAGCAGTTGAGGACAGTTCGTTGGCTTGTCACTTTTGGATGTTTTCTAAACACTACAGAGACCCTTCTCATCTCAGGTTGCTGCCCTTGAAGAAGTTTGTCTTTACTTTAGAGTGTCTTTAATGTGTACTACTTTGCAGCAGTATTGCTTCAGCATAAAAGGACTTGGCCTTGTAGGCTTTGCATCACTTTCAGCACTTCACAGTTGGCTCACTGCCTTCATTGCTAGGCGCAGTGTGTGTTACTTCAGAGAGCCGGGCCTGCAGAGTACAGTACGGCTATTTCTGAGCACAACGTAACACTGGTAAAACATACTGACTGCAGTATGTAGGAGCATATTGACTGCAGAATGTACTAGCTGTCAGCATAGCCTGCCATAGCTCCCGAGTAATTTAGTTTTTCTCTTGGAGCTCCAGAGAAGTCCTGCCCTTCCCTTTTGTTTTCCAGTGCATCCATTCAAGGCAGTTGCGCACAGCAGTTCATCCATCATTGCCATTCTGTTGTGACTTTCAGATGTTGGTCCAGCTGTTGCTTTGGAAAGAGTGGCATTAACAAATGCATTGTTACCGCTTGGAATAGTGCAAGCGTAGTTTGCTCTGTGGATGATTTCAGTTGGGCTGGTCCAGTGATTGAGATGTTTGAGATTTCATTGTTGGAAGGAATATGGAAGGCTTTTTACCCTTGTACGTTGTATTCTGTACTACCAAATCAAGTTTAACGTTTTGGCAAAAGGACTGTATCTTAGTTTGGTTACATGTCTTATTGAGGGAGTGGTTATGCCTTTATTCGGTTATCATTCCTCTAGAGTTGGGAGACCCTCTGTTCTTTTTTGCATTGGCAGTATGGTGTTTCTTTCAAACATTTAAAAATGTATGTTTTGTGACTTAAAAACTGTTGTCATAGATCACTCATGCATTGTATAATAAACCAGTTGTTCAAAACCTGATTGAGTTGCTCCTTGAATAGCAGACAGGGAATGCGTGAGACTGTTTTTCCACGTCCCTACACTGGGAGCTTTAGGGAAAGGCACAGGATGTGATGTATCTGTCCATCCTCTGTGGTGAAGGATATAACTTAGGAAAGTACAAAGACCATGTCATGACTCAGAATCTGATGTTATGCACCTGTGTTCTCTACATGTGTTTAGCAATATGTATCAATAATTTTGCTAGGCAATAAGTAGATTTAAAAAGTGAAAAGTTAATTCATGTGGTTTGGCATGTTTGCCTGTATACATTTTGCTCCAGACATGTTTCTTATTATAATATAAAAAAAAAA